ATATATATATATATGTATAAAAACATAACTGGCTGTAACAATATGGAAACAGTAAATAAAGTAAAATGTAAACACTTCTTTTATATATGTGCATATATGACGCCTGCGCCAAAACAATGAAATACAGAACATTTAGAGAGTTTTGTGTTGAAAACAAAGAGAAACTGTAACTGAGATTTTTGTTGCTTGTAGATTTAACTGCCTCTAAAGAAAAATAGATACATAAAAGTTTTGGTTTCTTGTCTATTTTCCTGTCATCAGTCTGGTTGTTAATGCAGTCCAGTAGTTTTAGAATTGGTCATTTTGGTCACATGACTGTAAACACTACAGCTGTTGTCACTGGTGTTTCAACAACAGCTACACAACATCTGCAACACGTAAAAGTCCATGAAGTTCTTGAAAAAGTCCTGGTTTAGTTCTATTACAAAAATATAGTACAAACTGATTAAATTATTGAGAAGACAAAACRCTTTGCTGGCTGGTTACTCGGGTTAAGAATTGACTGTAAAAGTACAAACTTAAATTGTGAAGTGTAGTTTTCCCAAAGGTTTTGTTATTTTTCTGTTAAACTGAGGAGAGTCTGTGGTTGGAGCTCAAACAAAAGGGGAAAACGATSTGCTCTTTGCAGTGTGGCGCGCTGCGTTTCAGAGTAGGTTTCCCATCCAAGTGCTGTAAGTCGTTGACCTTTTCTCGAGCGTACAAACGGGAGGAAAGTCTGTTTGTCTTCAGTTGGCCTCCAGCCGCTGCAGCAGGGGGTTCACCTCGCTCTCTGGGCTTTTCACGCTGTCCGTCCTGACGATGCAGGTGGGACGGTGGCGGTTGAGCATGAGGATGAGCTGCTGTCGCTCCAGTTTTAGCTCCTTGATCTGGGCTTTAAGGTCGGAGTTTAACATCTCTAACCTTTCTGACTCCTACAAGAAGAAGAAGAAAAAAAAGATTTTTAAATGATAACACTAAAAAAGTKTAACAGGATGTAAAGATGGGCGCGGGGTGTGTTCTACTTTTTGTAGGTAGTCCGTCCTCTCTTTCTTTTTGTTCCGACATCGAGCAGCAGCCACTTTGTTTTTCTCTCGCCTCCGTTTTCTTCTCTCCTCCTCTTCGTCTCTCTAAACATAAAACATAACAGTGCATCGATTAAAAAAAACTTTAGATTGCATTTTAGAGTTAAAGTAATCTTAATTTATGAAAAAGAAAATCGTGAAATTAAGAGAAACTTGCTTTCTGTTTTATTATTTGGCATAAAGATTTCAGTTAAACCATGCGTGAAGCGAAATTTATCAAATATGTATACATAAATTTTCTGGCTCAATATGAACARTATAAAGTCCTGGATCCCACTGGACCAGTTAGTCCTGTACCTCTGTTTTGATGAGTAGAGGCCTCTTGCCCAAACTGTCCAGGAAATCCAGCGGTGACAGCATTGTTCCGAACTCCTGGAGGTCGCCAAATTTCAGCCTGTCGGTCAGCGTGGTGGCCGAGATCCCAGCCAGCGGGCCCAGGCTGGGMAGGGAGCCCGCCGTCACAGAGGGATCTGGGATTTGTCCTGGCATTGCGTCAGACTCGGTCTTCACCACAGCTGTGGGAGTCGAGAGGGAGGAAATGGGAGACATATTCAGACGGCAATGAAAGCAGAAAAAACACTCAACGCTGTCTGTGTTCAGACATGTGGAGGCTCAATATACTGAAAACAAATACATCCCAGACTTGATCTATAGCTTCTTTATTGTATAATTCAGTTTCAGGTTTCAGGTTTGGATGCTGCAGCCTATTCTGYTACGATACAGTTGATCAGTAAAAGCATAGAAGATAAATGGTTTTAAGCACAATATTGTGAGATGTCATACTATGAGTTGTAATTGCCTCCCAACTACTAAAACGTCCCATTTTAGCCTAATATCTGTTAAAAGTGGCAAAGTTACAGCCAATATTGTGTTCAAGGTCACTCCTAAAATCATCTCACATGAAAATATCTTTCAGACACTTCCTTAAACTATTGGTTGAAAGAAAAAGTGGAAATCTGCAGAATATTGATGATAATAGTGTTTATTCGTTCATTTCATTAAAAACAACATAAATTCAATATAATTAAAATACAAATCATAAATAAATGAAAAGCAACAGAAGACAAAATCAATCTTATATTTGCCCCTTTTTTCTCAGATAAAATCAATCAAAAATAAGCTTCAAATATCAATAAAAAATACAAAAATGAACAAAAAAGAAAAAAAAATCATGAAAAGAAAAAAACAAAGGTTTGACTCCATCTTGAACACAAATCATACGTTATATTGTTACATATTTCTGTAACAAATTTACCTTTAACATGCTTAAAAATACATATTATTCTGGCATTTTAAACTTCATCCACCAGATCATTCCACAATCTTATACCCTGGACTGAAGTACTCTGTTCCTACAAACTGGTTCTAAACTTAGGTTTAACAAACATTTCTATCCCTTTGAGATTATAACAACTTTCTCTTTTAGTAAAATGTAATCGGATGTTTGAAGGTAAGGTGTTTTTATGAGCCCGATACATAAGTGACAAAATATTATAATCAACCAAATCGCAGAACTTCAAAAACTTCGACTGATGGAATATTCTGATGGAAACCATACTTCAGAGGCGTCACAAGGCCTATTGGGGAGGGGGGTGTAAAAAATAAAAAGTGTTGACAAATTCAATATAATGTAACCAGAAGGTGAGTTTAAATAAACACTCACATAACCTGTCCTTATTAACTAATAATATCATAAATCTGTCAGTTTTCCTTTACTTCATGGTGTAAGCTAGAGCAGTGTTTCCCAAAGTTGGGGTCGGGACCCAAAGTGGGGTCCTGAAACATCAAGGTTGGGTCCTGAAAAGATTTTCAGAATTAATTACATTTTTGCCTTAGTTGTTACAAAGGTGTGAGTTTAGTGTATTTAAAATGGATAAATGTAGTATAAAAATATTGTTACTATGCCCATGTTTTGTTGACCTGATACAAATGTTTATCATCCAAAAATGGGGGCACAGGTCTCTGCTGCTGTTTTGTACAATTCTGTGGGTCATAAGCTGAAAAGTTTGGGAACCACTGCACTTTGGTTCCCAAAGTTGGGCTTGGGACCCAATTATGGGTCACCTTGGATAATCTCCAGAAATCAATTTAAAGGGTAATAAAAATAAATGCTGATGTAAAATTTTCCCTATAACTATTACAAAAACACAAAATAAGTATAAATAAGTATTTATATTTGTGTACAAGCTGTTCAGATTGTCCAAAAGCCTGTGTTTTTAGGGTTATTAACAAAGTTCGTGTACTCAGACCAGTAATATTTGGGG